TAGATAGATAGATAGATAGATAGATAGATAGATAGATAGATAGATAGATAGATGATAGATAGATAGATAGATAGATAGATAGATAGATAGATAGAAGAAAGAGAGAGAGAGAGACAGAAAGACAGACAGCATTTGCTGACAGCAGAGAGAAATTCTGTTTTCCTTTCCATGATGGGCTGAAGAACAGCGGTAGTCTCCAAATTACAAAAGCCGTGTTATTTCCATGATCATGAGACAATAATGTGTTTTCATCGTCATCATCATGGATTCTGTTCGAGATCTATGACCAGAGTCCGAAGCTCTCTGGACCTCCACCTGAGCTAAAGGGAGCCCATTCCAAGGAGGCTCCAGAGATAGGCTCCTCCCTGCCGAAGCTCCTTACCTCACATAGGAGACGTAGGTGCTCCACCGAAGGTAGGTTGGGATGGTCTTGAAACTGACAAAGAAGCCAGAAAGGAGAAGGACTGGAATCGCTGAAACGGGACCAACAAACGTGGCCACCTGGGAGGAACATGGTGGGAGAGAAGAGCAATGTAAGATGGTTGGAAGAAGACCAAGATGGAGGCTGAAAACTCAGGATTTCAAATCTGGATATGTAAACCAGCCTTCCACAGGTTGGGATCAATCCTAAGCCAGTTAGGTGTCGTGGTCCTGTTTGTCCCAAGAGATCAGGTGAGGAAAGCAGGTCAAAGTAGATGCCTCTGACTTATTTCCTTAGTTCTGAGGTCCAGGATTTGTCTAATTGATGTAAGATTACATCACTAGCATCATTTGAACAATGATGTTGCTTCTTCCCCTTTGAACTCTTAGGATGTTTCAAGATATATTTTTTTAAAAAAATCCTTCTTGTGAAGACCCTGGTTTTGGAGCTGGGTTGTTTTTCATCAACCCACAGAGATGATCTTGGAAGGATTCTGGAGGAACGTTGAGGAACTAATAGTGAAAAGAGATAATTTTTTGTTTCCAAGACCAACCATAGCAATTTTGGAATCCGTTTGCGTGTTCGTATTTATTCCTCTTCTCCACAAATGTTCAGATTTGGGCCTTTCTCAAGTGACTTAAATCACCCAAATGCCTTTTAAGAAGTGAGAAGACTCCTTGGCATGGACTTCTACCTCAAAAGAGTGTGTTGTTGGTGTGTGTGTCTGTGTCTGTGTGAAACCACTTGCTTTAAAAATATTTTTTTAAAGAAGGACCTTGATTAGATCTTACAATGTGGCTCTCTCTTTTTTGATCCTTAATTCCTTTTCGGGTGGGATCACGTTAGACTCTGGGGTGACAACTTGAGGTCCTGAACAGAGGTGGCAGGTTCAGCAGGTTCTGACAGGTTCTGGAGAACCGGTAGCGGAAATTTTGAGTAGTTTGGAAAACCGGCAAATATCACCTCTGACTGGCCCTGCCAACCCCATCTCTTCTCTGCCTCCCATTGAGTCCCAACTGATCGGCTGGGTCTTCTTTGGTTGCCCTGCACAGGAGAACGGATCTGGAAAGCAGGTTAGTGGGGTGGGGAAGGAATGGGGATTTCGCAGTAACCTTCCCCTGCCACGCCTGCCATGCCACGCCCACAGAACTGGTAGTAAAAAAATGTTGAATCCCACCACTGCTCCTGAACCACCTTGGACCTTGCCGTAGACTCACTTGTGGTGAGCTGGATGCTGCTCCGATGAAGAGGCCCACAGATTGGGCCACCAAGGTCGTGAAGGTGGCCAAGGCTGAGAATAGCAGGAAGCGGGTCGCTTCGGGGGGCTGCCCGGTCATCCAGTAGACAATGCTACAGTAGGTGATGGGACAGATGATCTATAGAAGAAGCGGGGGAACCAATGAACCAGGATCTTATACCTCAGAGTAAAGTAGTTATGGGTTGAAGTGGCTCTCCGTTAAGGGGAGGCCAACGTCCTCCACCAAGGGAAGCAACCAACCCTTGACTCTACCACCTCACGTAGTCCTCTACATAAGACCATTTGTTTAATAGCCAAAGTTGGGATGGTCCAGAAGAAAAAAGGACTTTGGGCCAATCCTCTCAGCACCATCACAGTGTCCTGCGGTCATGTGGTCAAAATTCAGATATTTGGCATGTGTTCAGGGCTGCTCTGCTGGGGGTTCGCAGGGGTTCAGGTGAGTCTCTAGCTAAGATTCTGCACAGTTTGGAAAAAAACCCAAATCCCACTCCTGGCTGGCCCCTCCCACCCTGGCCCGCCCATCCAGGAGTCCCCACGGGGCCCGTTTTGGATGCAGGTAAGTGCAGGTGCACGTGGAAGCTCAGGGAGGGTGAAAAATGGGCCTCCCGGAAGTTCGGGAAGGCCGGAAATGGGCCCGTTTCTGGCTTCCAAAGAGCCTCCGGAGCCCGGGGAGGCCAAAAACACCTCCCCACTGTGGTGCAGGAGGCCAACTAGGCCACGCCCACCATGGCCAGCCCACCCAACAACGGGGCAGAGAACCCCTTGCTAAAATTTTTGAAGCCCACCCCTGCATGTATTTATGAAGTTGTATCATCCCGGGGTCTTGCGATGGCCATTGTTGTCCTTCCCAGGGGTCTTCTGATAAGCAAAGGGAGGCGGGAGAGAGAAAGCCAGATTTGCTTAATGACCATGGCAAAGAAGATGGTCATAAAATCAGGCATGGCTGATTTAACAAATGCATCATTTAGTGACGGAAGGGCCGGTCCCAATTGTGTTTGTAAGTCAAGGATTGCCTCTATGTTCAGCTGCACCTGTTGAACCTCAGTCTGCTATCAAACTGTAAAAAAAAAAAAGGAGTGGACCCCCTCCCAGTGGCAGAAATGGGGTGTGTGTGTGTGTCAGGATTAAGTGCTCACCTGAAAAGGAACATCTGCTACAGTTTTGGCCAGAAAGTAGGCCTTTAGACTGTACCAGTAGTTGAGATGTTCTCGCAGAAAGACGGACATCTCCAGAGGGACTGCAAAGAGAGAGAGAGAGAGAGAGAGAGAGAGGGACGGAGAGAAGGAGGGTGGGAAGGAGAGGGAGAAAGAGAGAGGGTGGGTTTTTATATCCAGGCAGGGAGGAGGAGGAAGAATTGGTGCATTTGTATTGGAGGGAGCCCAAATGCTGGCAGTTCAGTCTTTATTGATTAGGCCATGTGTCAGGATTCCGGCAGTTACTCCAATTAAATTGTGAGCCTTGAGCCATACTCCCAAAACTAAAGAGGATTTATTTGAAGCTACCATTCTACGACTGGCACTAACCTGGGCGTAGCCAACTTTGAGATACATAATTCACTGTCACCACCCTTGATCCTGCTTTCCCCCAGCCCCTCCCGCCTCTGGGTGTATCATCCAACGAAACACATCCCTAGCCAAGAGTCATCAATCATGCTCTCCAATTAGATTTTTGCTCGGCAAAAGCTTCAGTCATCTAATCAGTCTCTTAAGAAAATATAAATGGAATGTACTTTCGATTCCACACTGCCACCTACAGTTTGAAACTCCACCCCCCCCCCCATTTCTTTCTGTTGTCAACTATAAAACGTGTATACAAAATGTTTTATGAGTTGACACCTTGGGCCATATCAAAGTGCAGAGTTCCGAAAACAAATTATTATTAACATTTGATAAAAGCAATTTGCTGTTCTACCAAGGGGCCCCCAACTCACAGGTCAGAATGGTGGGCATCAGAGCAGCAAACATGAGGAAGAGCATGGAGACGAACAGGAAGCCGGTGTTGTTGAAGACCTTGGTGGCATCGTTGCCGATGTGTAGGTAGAGGAGGCCGATCAACACCCCCGTGCAGATGTGAGACATGAACCTCAGGTGGGTGAGGAGCTGTGCAGAACAAGAAGAGCCCTAAGTCATCTGGGGAAAGGATTCCCCCCCCCCCCAAAGATACTTTCATCTTCTTTGGCAAAGCGTTGGAACATCTTGAGAAAAAGCCACAGAACCTGTTCTGACCGAGGCTTCCCAAACTCACGAAGCAGACTCCTTGTTCTGACAAAAACCCCTTTTATTTAAGCTAAATGTAAATTCCTATCATTCACATCAGCAAAGTCCCAGCAAACATTCTTTCAAGAGCAATTTACAATCACAGACCTTATCAAGCTTGGAGAGTTGCCAGGCCGATAGCTTCCAAGCGCAATGCTGTAGCAGAAAACACTTGGCAAGGAGTCAAGTCTTCACCCAAATTAACTGTCTCCTGCAAATCCCACTCCCCTTTTGCTCCTTTTTATTCCCTAGGGGAGGGGCCATTCACCATCCACCTGTGCCTTTACTCCTGAGTTGACCCTTGTTCCTTAATTGTTCCCTTCTCCTGGCAGCTCTGCGCATATGCACACTGGGAACAGGCTCCAGCTGTTCTTCTGCCTCACTGATGTCCGATTCCAAAGGCAGCAGATAACTGCTGGATGGCCCTAGCCCCATTTCTGCCTAGGAGACAGAGCCCTCGTCAGAGCCTTCCCCAGACTCCAGGACTGGCCCATATTCATCCCCAACCTTGTCCGAGTCTGCCACCAGCTTCTCTAGCCACTGATGGGCCAGAACAGAACTGATCAGGCAAGCTACAATGGGTGACTTCCCACAACAGGTTGGGTTGAAAGCCAGTTGACCACTGGTGTTGAAGGAAACTCTACTTTATCCCAGTGGGGAGATGGGTGAGAAGCACCCTAACCTCTGGGCTCTTCTTGTGTTTTCAGAAGCTGATGGATGCAACTTTTTTATTTTATTTTCCTGCTCTTGATCCTGGCGAGGAAATCGCATTTTGGTAAGCTGCCCAGGGTTGCCAAAGGAGCTCATAAAATCTCTGAACAAATGAAGAATAAAGACGATTTGTGCTGTATGAACCAAACCTCTCTCAACCCCACACAGCACAAAATATTCATTATTATTATTACTTGGTAAATGCAAACCTATCAAATATTCATCTGAAGTGAAAGCCAGCCAGAATCTTGGGCTGGACCAGGAGTAAATGTTGTGACTGTTAAAAACAGATCAATAAATAGTCTGGGAAGGAATAAAAAACAAAATGATTATCAAGTCCTGGATCTTGAGTCTCTCTGAGGATCAGCTGCCTGGTTGGAGACCCAAATAGCAGCTTTATCTTAGAAGGGTTCATGGGAGTGTGTGTGTGTGTGTGTGTGTGTGTGTGTTAACAAAAGTCAAGTTGGTGGCCACAACACATATAAACAATGGGTGGGGTTTATGGTTTCTATGGCTACCAGCCTGACTTTTTTTGACCCTCCTGGAGATCCGCCTAGCTCTGCATCCTAAAGGCTCCAAAGATATTCCAGATGTTGTCACAGCAACTGAAAGCATCAGTGATGCAAAAAACAGAGACATGTCTTCCTTCCTTCTCCTTATCTCTCCTCCCTCCCTTCCTTCCTTCTTCCTCCCTCCCTTCTCCGACTGCCTTCCTTCTACTATCTCTCTCCTTTCCTTCCTTCCTTCCTTCTTTCCTTCCTTCCTTCTTCCTCCCTCCCTTCTCCAACTGCCTTCCTTCTACTATCTCTCTCCTTTCCTTCCTTCCTTCCTTCCTTCCTTCCTTCCTTCCTTCCTTTCCTTCCCTCCCTCCCTCTCTTCTCTGCCTTCCTTCTACTATCTCTCTCCTTTCCTTCCTTCCTTCCTTCCTTCCTTCCTTCCTTCCTTCCTTCCTTCCTTCCCTTCCTTCCCTCCCTCTTTTCTCCGCCTTCCTTCTACTATCTCTCTTCCTTCCTTCCTTCCTTCCTTCCTTCCTTCCTTCCTTCCTTCCTTCCTTCCTTCCTTCCTTCCTTCTTTCCTTCCTTCCTATCTTCCTCCCTCCCTCCCTCCCTCCCCCTGTCTCCATCCTCCACCTCGTTTCTTCCTCCCTGACCCTTACCGTGTCTCTTAGGATGGAAATATAGCTTCTCTTGAAAAGGATGCAAAATTGAGTCAGGGTACTAGTTGCAAAGGTATGGCTCTCGATATGATCCAAATCCTGGGGTTGAGCCAAGTAGAGAAAGAAAAGGAGAAAGAGAAAGAGAGAAAGAGAAAGAAAGAGAGAAAAAGAAAGAGAAAGAAAGAAAAAGAGAAAGAGAAAGAAAGAAAGAGAGAGAGAGAAAGAGAGAGAGAAAGAGAAAGAAAGAGAGAGAAAAAGAGAGAAAGAAGAGAAAAGCGAGAGAGAGAGGGAGGGAGAGAGAAATTGGAGGTTAATAAAATCTCCCATCAATCCTAGCGATCTCCAAGGAAGACTTTATGGCAGAGGCCCCCAACTTTTGGGGCACCAGGGACCTGTTCACTGGAAAGCGTTTTTTCTGGAAGGGTCACGGTTTCATGTGCTGCCTCCAGCCCATGGATGGGCCTCTGCTTGTTTGCATGGCCTGGTTTCTGGCAAGCCACAGGACAAACCGGTGCCAAGGTTGGGGGGCCCTGCTTTATGACACCTTTCCCGAGCGACCCACAAGGGGTTGCACTTCAACTGATTTTTTTTTTTAAAAAGAGAGAGAGGCTGAATGCAAACGGGACAACCTCAGAACCAGCAAAGCTGCCCTCGCCTAGCCTGACGTGGTCTGGACTCCTGGTGTCTTGGGGGCTCCAGCTCTCAAAGAACCTCCCCACCCCTCCCCGTAGACCACTCACCCCCACGCAAGGTCCTGGCACCAAGGAATCCATCTTCTCTGGGCTGCCCTTCTTCTCCTCCATGGTGCACAGCCCATTCTGGACGGCTTGGAAGAGGAGTGGGTTGAGATCGCCGTATTCCCCTGAGGCCACCTCAATGACTGCAGAGGAGAAGACAGAGGGAGGCAACTGGGGGTCACGCTTCTACCAAGAGACACTCAGCTCTACTCACTTTTCCCATGACCCAAGAATCATAGTTTTATTGTTTTCATGAATCAGCGAGACGGTTTAGCATTCCACTTCAGGACCCTAGCGAACAACACAACTGCAACACAACTGCAAGGTAAGCTTTTCTTTCATATATACGTGAAAACATAATGCTTGGGGATCATCAGAAACAACTTAAAATGGGGGTGGCCAAGGAGAAATTTTGAACCCTGAGCTTCTGAGCTGTTGACCTATTTCCCCATATGGAGGTTTGAGTCCCCATTGCAAGACATCATCGAATGGAAGGTCCTAAGAAAGGGCTATATTGTTATAAATTTTTATAATGGGTTAAAGAGAGTAAAATTGGGGAAATGTATAAGGTAAAGGGGGTGGCAAGCTTGAGTTGACAATGAAAGGGGATAACTTTTGGATAATAAGAATTAAGATGAATTTTATTGAACAATGAATGGAATAATAGCGTGTGATAAAACTTGCAAATGCATGTAAGGAATATAGAAATTGAATAAGAACATAGATAATATTGTAAAATAAGGCATGAGGATATTTAAGGAACAATGAAATAAGTAATAATATGATATGAAATTGGATAGGAAAGCTGAATATGCAATCATGGTCATGTTTGTATTTGAAATGTAAAAACCTGGAACTACATTGTTCACGTAAAGAGATGTTTTTTAAAACATAAAAATAAAAAAATTATTGAAAAGAAAAAAGAAGAAAAGGATGTACATTTTAGCCTTCTCTGGTGGCTTTCCAGAAGTGGACTAATCCCCAGAATGCTCCTTCTGACCTAACTGTTGATGAAAAGTGTGAGAATCCAAGCTGACCCAGATAATCAGAACCAGAGTTCCTCAACATGCAAAAGAGGGACTTTGATGGGTTGGATCAAAAGGGCTTCCCAGTCCAACATTGTATCATGTTTTCTATTCAGGATCACTCCGGTGTCCTAATAGGGAACCCACTCCTGAAAGTCATTCTTAGATCCAGAGCTCTGGTCCCCAATTCCCATCTGGTTGATGACTTCAGATCAAGCCATCACTAAGGGGCCAGATCAGGGGTCTTCAAACTCGGCAGCTTTAAGACTTGTGGACTTCAACTCCCAGAATTCCTCCTCCTGTCATGTTAGCTCAGGAATTCTGGGAGTTGGAAGTCCACAAGTCTTAAACTTGCCAAGTTGGAAGACCCTTGATCTATTCTATCTATTATATTTCTCTCTCTATCTATTCTACCTCTCTTTATCTATCTATCTATCTATTCCAGGGGTCTTCAAACTTGACAGCTTTAAGACGTGTGGACTTCAACTCCCAGAATTCCTCCTCCAGTCATGTTAGCTCAGGAATTCTGGCAGTTGAAGACCACAAGTCTTAAACCTGCCAAGTTGGAAGGCCCTTGGGCCAGATGTTCAGGAGATCCTCAAATAAAGTACTCAGCATGTCTAGATAGGGTTGGCAAACATCTGCGTGAAACCCTAGAGAGATCTGGATCAGTTGGAGCGAGGGCCTGGGCTACTACTACGGGCTCCTAAGAAAGGACCGTGCCACGCATCACTTAACTCTGATAGATGCAAAAACCATCTATGGCCAACATGACTTACTGAAATCAGCTGGGTTATGGTAGGTGGGACAATGCAAGCCAAGCCCCTTTAGATACGGGATGAGGTTGGAGACAGCTCCCTTGAAGATACATTGACCTTGGCTGAGGATGTAGAGCTGGAAAGAAAGAAGAAGGGGGGAGAAAGTGCAAATCCTGAGTGCAATAAGAGATGTGTCACATGGGATGCTCAAATCAAAGAGTTGCTAAAATGCCCCAGATATTCTGAGCCCTACAGGCATCCTTCTGCCATTCGGCGCCATCTTGCTCGATTAAGAGAGTTGGTTCCTGCGAGTCTCACCTTGTCAAACTTTTCAAAGCAGCCTCACCTTGTCAAACTTTTCAAAGAGCTTAGCGCTGGGCTGGTGGATGGTGCAGATGATGGTGCGGCCCCCTTGGGCCAAGGATTTCAGGAGGGAGACCACCTGGAAGCAGGACGTGCTATCCAGTCCACTGGAGAGGCAGAGAAAGAGAGAACAAGGCACATTTGCAACCTTTGTGTTTCCACTGTGCATTTCTATAACAATCATTCTTTTTCCCTTGTCTTGGGAAAGTTGGGTTTTTAAAAAAGCTTTTGACTCTGACAGTGAACTCCAAGCATTCTTGATTTCTTCTACAAGTTCTTCTCTACCCATTGGTCTGGTCCTGCCTCAACATCCCACCAATTTCTTGGAGGATTCCCACCAATGTTCTGCAAGATCAAACAAGGCCCAGAGACAAGAGGAAAGGGTCTCAGTCCTCCCCTAGATATGGGCAGGAACCAGAGGTAGGGTCTGTCGCTTACCTGGTGGGCTCGTCAAAAAACATGACTGGAGGATTGTTGACCAACTCAAGGGCGATGGCAAGTCGCTTGCGTTGTCCTCCAGAGAGAGCTGAGGAGCGAGTATGGGCACACTCCAGGAGTCCCAAGGCGGTCAAGATCTCATTCACCTGATTGCCAGAAAAGAATTCCCATGAGAAATGGGCCATGATCCTTCCTTTAGGCCAGGGGTCTTCAAACTTGACAGCTTTAAGACTTGTGGACTTCAACTCCAGAATTCCTCCTCCAGTCATGTTAGCTCAAGTTTGAAGACCCTTGCTTTAGGCCAATGTTTCTTAGTAACTTTAAGAACTGTGGACTTAAAGAATTCCTCAGCCAGCATGAGGAAGCCATTGATTCACTGGATCTGTGGATTTCTGGAGTTGAAATCCACCCATCTTAAAGACACTGGTCCATTGGATTTGTTGACTTCTGACAGTTGATGTCCACTCATCCTGAATTTACTAAATTTGACAAATACAGTGTCATGAAGTACATCTCAACAAAAGTAGATCAATTCAAGTCAAACCCCAGCCCACTGGGACATCTATTGAGTGATATAATTTCAGCTTCTCACCTTTCCTTATTCCCTCTCCTAGATGGAAAGCCATGAGGACCCCTGATTCAGCCCAGACCCCCTCAGCAGATGCTACATTTACTACTTTGGGAACAGCCCAGCTTGCCAATGATGGTCTTAACTTAGCTTAACTTAGCAATGCATTGGCTGCAAATTGAGCCCTTCTCAGATGAGGAAGCTGAAGAGACGGGAGAACATCCATCTGTCCATTTGCTGGGAAACCAGCCAGAAAGGGCTTCATTGCATGGTTGAATGTCCCACCTCTGCTTCTTGAGCTTTCAAAGACAACCCAAAATGCCAACTTACCAGCTCCTTCTTCACTTCTTGCTTCTCATTCAGTTTCAGGTTGGCTGAACCCTGAGTGGAGAAAATGAAAGATTCTCATTCTTTGCTTCTAGACTTACCGGGACAACTGGTTTTGAAAGCCCTGGGATCATCATACTTTTTTCTGGAGGTGAGCTGCCTTTGATGGGGCTCTCAGGTCTCTTCATCCCCTCAGTTGAAGGTCTCTATTGAATTCCCTTTCCAGGGTTGCAACATTTCCTCCACTCACCATCATGGCCTCTTTCACGGTGAGATGGGGCATCAGCATGTCGTCCTGCATAATGTAGCACGACATCTTACGGAAAGTGCGCAGTTCCCTTGGATGTCCGTTCACCAAAATTTGGCCTTTCATGCCCGTTTCCCTGAGAGTAAGAAACACAGAAGGTTGCCGGTTGAAGATCTAACGCTCCTTAGAACTGGGGTGTGCAGCCTGGGCAACGTTAAGGTTTGTGGACTTCAACTCCCAGAATTCCCTAGGGCAGCCAGTCCTGGAAGCTGAAATCCACAAGTCTTAATGTTGCCAAGGTTGGACACCTCTGCCTTAGAAGGTTCTTAAAACTTAATCCTAACTTTGGCAATTTCCAGCTATATGGACTTCAACTCCCAGATTTCCACAACCGGCACCGCCATTACTGAGAATTCTGGGATTGAACACTGGTTTTAGAAGAGCCTAAACATTTTGCTCATTTCTTCATTCATTGGCTAGAATTTATTGTTGGGTTTGGGGGACAGCAGAGAGAGGATGCTGAGGAGGAAGATGAGGTGTCTCCCCCTCCACTAACTTCTGGAAGGTTTAAACAGGAAGTACAAAAAGGATGACTTCGGCAACAGAGTGGTTAATGCCTGGAATGGACTACCTGTTGTTATAGCCTCAAACCCCCAAAACTTTAACCTTAACAGCACTGCACATCAGAACAACTAGACACAAGGACAGTTTTTTCCCAAACGCCATCACTCTGCTAAACAACTAATTCCCTCAACACTGTCCAGCTATTTACAAAGTCTGCATTACTATTACTATTAATCTTCTCATCACTTCTTATCACCCATCCCCTCCCACTTGTGACTGTATGACTCTAACTTTGTCACTTGTATCCTAACGATTTTTATTGACTGTTTCCTAGTATGATTTGATTGCTTATTGTACCCTATGACTATTATTAAGTGTTGTACCTGATGATTCTTGACTCTTGACGAATGTCTCTTTTCTTTTATGTACACTGAAAGCATTTGCACCAAAGACAAATTCCTTGTGTGTCCAATCACACTTGGCAAATAAAAGAATTCTATTCTATTCTATTCTTAAACTATCCCCTATTCACCTCATCCCATTCCTGAGAGGTCTGTAAGAGGTGTGCATAAGTGCACAATCGTGCTTACCATACCTGTCCTATTGTCCCAATTTATTTGTACCTATTTCCTGTATTCATACTCATGTTTATTGTTATACCTATTATCTTGTAAGTGATTGACAAATCAAATCAAATCAAATCAAATCAAATCAATAAATAAATAGAATTTGAGGTTCTCCAATTTATTTCACCATTATTCTGGGCAACGAGGCACCCAAGGATTGTACTAAATCAACCTGAAGATGTTGAAGAAGATTATCTGGGCATTTGTCAGGATACGGGACCAAATCTTCCCATTAAAAATCAAGCTGTTTTATGCAAAGGAAGTATTTTCCTCACCGGTATCCAGCCAAGAGGTTCATCAAGGTGGATTTCCCAGCTCCAGAAGGTCCCATAATACCAATCAGTTCCCGGGGGCAAAATTTCCCAGAGAGACATTTCAGCAGGGTCTTGTATCCTGGAAAGAGATCGAGTGTTCTTGGTGAGCAAAGGGGGTGGGCTTTTCAATTCATTGATCATATCTTTCACCCAGCTGGTGGGACCAAGAAGAAGGATCTTCTCCCTGTGGAACATCATCCCTGTGGGAATAAGATTGGAAATAAAACATTATAGGTCTCCCCTCTTAAGAAGGTCCAAAAGGTGGGACGAAGAAGGACCTTTCTGTAGTGGCTCCATCCCTGTAGAACAGGGGTCTTCAAACTTGACAGCTTTAAGACTTGTGGACTTCAACTCCCAGAATTCCTCCTCCAGTCATGTTAGCTCAAGAATTATGGGAGTTGAAGTCCACAAGTCTTAAACTTTTCAAGTTTGAAGACCCTTGTGTTAGTAATATAAGAACAGGAAATGCATCACAGGAACAATAGAGATGAAACCTGGAGGGGCAATGTGATACAGGAAACCACTCCAATAGAGGGGAATGATAGAGCTGCATATAAGATAGACCAGGGGTCTTCAAACTTGACAGCTTTAAGACTTGTGGACTTCAACTCCCAGAATTCCTCCTCCAGTCATGTTAGCTTGGGAATTCTGGGAGTTGAAGTCCACAAGTCTTAAACCTGTGAAGTTTGAAGAACCTTGGATTTGAGACTTAAATCTGTCTATCTGTCCATCCATCCATCCATCTATCTATATCAGAGGTCCCCAAACTTGGCAAGTTTAAGACTTGTGGACTTTAACTCCCAGAATTCTCCAGCCAGCTTGCCAAGTTTGAAGACCCTTGCTGTAGAACATCATCCCTGTCAGAATAAGATTGGAACTAAGATGTTATAAGTTTCCTCTCTTAAGAAAAGCCATCTGGTGGGATGAAGAAGGACCTTCTCCATGGTGGCTCCATCCCTGTGGAACATCATCCCTATGGGAATAAGATGGGACCCACTTTGATGCTCTTTCAAAAGGTCCTAAAGACATGATTTTGCCAGTGGAACTGGGGAACCCAGAATGATGAAGAACCCATGAAGTGGTGGCTCTGATTATTGTCACCAAAGGGTTGGGTTTTTGGAGGGGATTGTATTGGGGTTTATTTCTCTGGAGAGACCTAGCCCATAAAATCACCAAGAATTAGACACGACCGAAGAGATAACTTTATCGTCATTTATTTGCTGTAAGCTACTGAGAATCATCGCGAGTGACTTGGGGGAGGGGAGCAATAGAAGGCAGACGTGATCCAAAACATTCACTGAAGACCACAGGATGCTCACACCGAACACAACTGAGTGCTCGGTAAATCAATATCGCTATTCTACACGCCAAAAGGAGCATTTGCGGAAACTAACTGCATAAAATCAGAAATGGAAAATCCATATTTTTCTTGCTGCTGGTTGGGTTTGGTTAATGGGCTTTGCTGCCCCAGAAGTGCTGGAAAGGAAACGGGACACTTTGGGTCCTAGTGTTTCGTCTATCCTTCAATTGAATTCAGAATAGATTAGTTTTGGAAGGGACCCTGGAGATCGTCTAGTCCAGCCCCTGCTCAAGCAGGAGAACCTGTACCAATATCAGAGAGCTGACTGTCCAGTCTCTTCTTAAAAGCCTCCAGAGATGGAGCAGCCACAACTTCTGGAGGCAAACAGTTCCACTGGTTAATTGTCCTCGCTGATAGGAAATGTCTCTTTAATTCCAGGTTGCTTCTCTCCTTGATTAGTTTCCAACCATTGGTGGATGTCCTCTTCATCCATGATCCGTTCTCAAGTTGTCACGAGCTACCAGGGTGGTCTCCTCCCACATGAAGAATGGTAGGAATGGAGCCACTTCAAGCTAAAGGAAGACTGGCTTCCATGGACTCAAAACGGGTAGGTTTGTGTCTGTTGTCTCTCAAGGATTCGAGCATGGGAACCTGCAGAAATCAATCTAGTCTTGAATAAATTATCACATTGGCCATCTGAAGCAATTCTAGGGTACCCACCACTAGAAGGTAGGGACGAGGTGGCTCGGTGGCTCACTGGCTAAGACGCTGAGCTTGTCGATCAGAAAGGCCGGCAGTTCGGCGGTTCAAATCCTCGTCCTAGCTTCTGCCAACCTAACCATTTGAAAGCATGTAAAAAATGCAAGTAGACAATAGGGACCCCTTTGGTGGGAAGGGAACAGCGTTCCGTGCGCCTTCAGCATTTAGTCCTGCCGGCCACATGACCACAGAGACGTCTTCGGACAGTGCTGGGTCTTCTTCTTCGGCTTTGTAACGGAGATGAGCACTGCCCCCTAGAGCCGGAAACAACGAGCATGTACGTGCGAGGGGAAACCTTTACCGCTAGAGGGAACCAAAGCATCAACATTCCCTTTGCTGGTTCAGGAGAAGACCTGGACTGTATTGTGGTCACAGACCAGAATTGTGATGGTTTGGTTGGGGAATTCGGCACCTGGCTGGCTGGCTGGCTGGGGAATTCTGGGAGTTGAAGTCCACCCCATCTTAAAATTGTTGAGGTTGAGAAATACTGCTCTAAATACAGGAGCTGGAACGTCTCAGGTTCAACTTGATGTCTATGACGTGGGTGCCAAAAGTCCCAAAAGGGATTATTTCATTTATATAACTAGCCTCCCGCAAGCTAACTACCCTCTTACAAATGCATCAGACTCCATTCTTGAGGCTTTAATTCTATGCACCACTGCTCTAACACCTGAAGTCTTCAGGTTTCATACATATCTTATAAAGACCTATAAAGTTTCTGTCCCCATTTTGCCTTTTCCATTCAGGGCAATCAATACAATCAGGATTTATTAATTGCCTTTCAATTGCTTCATTCCCCTTTCAGAGGGGGGGACGGACGGAGGGAGACGGAGAGGGGGAGAGAGAGAGAAATAAGAGGGGGGATTTTGAGAGAGAAAGAGATGAAATTTGGAGAGAGAGAGAAAGAAAAAAAAGAGATTTAGAGATGAAATATTGAGAGAAAGTGAGAGAGAAAGAAGGAGAAAGAGAGAACGAAAGAAAGAGATTTAGAAAGATTTAGAAAGAAAGAGAGAGAGAGAGAGAGAGAGAGAGATGGTTAATCAAAAGCTATTTTCTGCTTCTCTACTTTTCTGGTACCAAAATTCACTAAAGAGATAAAAACAGCAGCGTAAGAGAAAAAAAGAGCTTGCTTTTAGGGGCTTCAGAAGGATAAAACGCTGAGCTAGACGATTCACGCTATATTTAAGAAAGAAAGCATAAATTAAGAATGCCGTTCCAGTAAGGAACTTTTAAATTTTGTATGCTGTTTTTTATGCTTTTAATATTTTATCGGACACCACCCAGAGCCTCTCAGTGAGGGGGACGGTTCTTAAATGTGGAACATAAAATACATATTTTGCGTGGAAAAATAGCACCCGGTCACTTATGCGTTCTGCTTCTTACGCCATGTTCAGAAGCAGCCCCCTTCCCACCTCTGGCAGGCTGGAGAACATTCTAGACTGGGGCAGAGGTGCCGAAAACGAGTGGTGGAGGGAAGGGGGGGGGTTGAACCCGCTGGAGATTAAGTCTCGTCCATGCTAAGCATGCAGCATGCATGCAGCATGCAACAAACGCCTCCTTCAGGGTTCTAGGACAGCAGCCGCAGTGGGTTTTTGCAAAGCACTCAGCCCGTTCTGCAGTCAGTGTGGAGGATGCTTAGAGACCACGCCTTCCCCCCACACACACACACACGCACACACACCTTGTGCACACTTCCTTCTTGGGCCATCACGCCCCCACCCCGCAAGGCTGCCGCAGCATCTGCCAGTCAGCTGAGGGAGGCAGGCGGCTACTCGGGTTCATTGACTGGCAGTAACCCTGTCTCGCTGGCTGGCTCCTGCTTGCCAGCTGCAAATCCTGCTCAGCACAGAGCCTTTTCCTGCAGAATTGGATTTCGTTTTTATTTTTGAGCCCGGGCCAGAGCGCTGCTCAAAGGCCCTTGGTTCTCAGCTCCTGATGTGAAGAAGGAATGAGCTCCTGCAAAAGAGAGGCGTGGGGCCAGATTCCCCCCGAGGGCTGGGACATTCCAAGCCAGGTTCCCACGGGACTTGGACAGACCCTTAAGTCAGGGGTCTCTCTTCCCCCCACCCCCCTCTTTCCTGACCTGCCTGGGTTAGCGCACGAGATGTTCGCCCACTGCTGCGCATGTCAGCAGAGAAGAGGCCAGGAGGATCTGCCAAGCGACACTTAGGGATTCTCAGTCAAGGAGTTGAGAACCCAGAAAGGAAAATGTGCTTCACACGTATGCAAAACACACACACACACACACGCTTGTCTACACGCGTCTCCCTTTGCCAACTCCTGTCTACACGCGTCTCCCTCTTGCCTGTTCTCCAGCCCCAGAGCAGCCTCGGCAAACCTGACATTCTGCATCTAAACGACAACTCCCGCTCTGCATCCAGACTAATTTTGGCACAACTATCATCCCATCCTATAACTCCCATCCTGCAGCCAGACTACAACTTCCCTGTGGTTTACCTGATCCAGGTGTCCTTGGAGATTCTCCATCATCCATATCAGGCAAAAGAAGAAACGACGGATGGACGCTAATCAAAGAGAGACGCAACCTGGAATCCAGGAGAAACTTCCGAACAGGGAGGACAATGAACCAGTGGGACAGAAGTTGCCTTCAGAAGTTGCAGGTGCTCCACCACTGGAGGTTTTTAGGAAGAGACTGGACAGCCACTTGCCTGAGATGGAATAAGGACTCATGCTCAAGCAGAGGGTTGGATTAGAAGACCTCCAAGGTCCCTTCCAGCTCTATTCTTGTTGATGGGTTGGTTGGTTGGTTGAGTAATTGATTGCATTATTGATTGATTGAGTGATTGATTGATTGATCCAGGTCACGGTTGTGCTTTTTTCCAAAGGCAAATGGATTTTCTTGGTTTCTTGTTTTTGAAAACATTTGGCTTCTCATCCAAGAAGCTTCTTCAGTTCCCTTCAGTTCTTCAGTTCAGTCTGGAAGCCATTGGAATCCACAGAACGGAGGAAAACGGAAATGTTTTCAAAGGAAGAAAACCCAAGAAAGTCCATTACCTTCG